CATCATGGGAATGCCGAAATCCAAAACGTTTAGAACAGATTTAGTGAACTTCTTTGTGTGCATGGGGTCTGGTCAAACCCTGGGGGCAGCCATGTAATTGTTCCATATTTGGAATTCGCGCTTCCTAATATGGTGGGATGAAAATACCAAGTGCAATATTGCAAAATTATGACATGCTTTAACTTATGGCGTTACTGTGACAGATGTATAATAATTACATGTAATGTTATTTTCAGCAGGTCTCAATTGTTGGCGATCGTTTCGGCATCCCGTTCGCTTGTGTGTTTTAATTGCATTTACTAACACAAGTTTTGTGAATTTACTTCGCTGAATGCCAAAGTGAACTTTCTTGACCTGCCATGGAACAAACATGAATAATTGTTTTCTGAGTAAAAAAAATAAATTTCAAAAAGGTCACCAAAAATGTAGGTACTAAAGTACGATAACACTACATTACTATATTACTATGTAATATTATGTAAAAATTCAGTTTTTATTTTCATATTTGGTTGTCATGACAAAAGTATTTGCCTTGAACAACCAGACAACTGCTGATTTTGTGTTGATTTTGTGTTATCTAGGACTGCACCCTTTAAGCATCAGTCGACATCTGGCACCAATCACAAAATAGTTCCATTTATAGTCTGTTCTTTTCCAGTTGAAATGTTGCAAATATTTAAAAAATTTTGATCAAAAACTAGAAGCAATGTCACATTTTGTCAGTTTGGTCCAAAATTAAGATTGAATTCAGTGAAATTTACAGATAATGTGAAAATATTTAGAAAATGTGATTAAAAATTTCAACTTTTTTGATCAAAAACTAGAAGCAATGTCACATTTTGTCAGTTTGGTCCAAAATTAAGATTGAATTCAGTGAAATTTACAGAAAATGTGAAAATATTTAGAAAATGTGATTAAAAATTTCAACTTTTTTGATCAAACACTAGAAGCAATGTCACATTTTGTCAGTTTGGTCCAAAATTAAGATTGAATTCAGTGAAATTTACAGAAAATGTGAAAATATTTAGAAAATGTGATTAAAAATTTCAACTTTTTTGATCAAAAACTAGAAGCAATGTCATATTTTGTCAGTTTGGTCCAAAATTAAGATTGAATTCAGTGAAATTTACAGAAAATGTGAAAATATTTAGAAAATGTGATTAAAAATTTCAACTTTTTAGCTCTGCTGTCGACTTTGTCGAGCGGAGCTTATCATATGAGTGATTGTCCGTCGTCGTCCGTCGTCCGTGTCAATGTTTTACTTATTCGACTTCTTCTTGAAAACTACAAGCCTGAATGCTTTGATACTTGGTGTATATGTACCTTGGGTAGACCTCTCTCAGATTTGTTCATTTCATGATGATATCTTCAATTCTCTAATTTTGGTGAATATTTTTGTCATTTTTGATAAAAAGTGATATTTTCGACTTCGTGTTAAAAACCGCAAGTCCAATTGCTTTGATATTACATATGTAAGTACTACATGTGGATCTCTCTCAGATTTGTTTATTTTGTAATGATATCTTCAATTCTCTAATTTTGG